TGTGTGTGTGTGTGTGTGTGTGTGTGTGTGTGTGTGTGTGTGTGTGTGTGGTGTGTGTGTGTGTGTTTGTACAGCTATCTTTGTGAGGACAAGCAAGGGTTTTTAACCTTTGGAGTGAGGACCATTTTGCAAAGTGAGGACATTTAGGCCGGTCCTCACTTTATTTTCACTGTAATGGCCTCTAGAGTCTGTTTATATGCTTCTCTCAAAGTTTCAGAGAGGTCCTCAAAAGATGCCAAAATCGAAAATGTGTGTGGATTTTCGGTGTGTACGTACTCTGAATACACACACTTTTTGCTCTCTATCGCCCTCTATTGACATAACCGATTTATTGCACAGGAGCAACTTTAACTAGAGAAAGACATGTCTCATGGTTTTTTAGGTAAAATAAAATACATATTATGAAATTTCATTTTGTTTTATTTTACTATCCCTTAGTTTTTAAATATTTAACAAGGTTATAATGTGTTTAACTCACTTATAACATTAAACTACTGTTTAATAGTAACATTAAACTGTAGAAGGATTTTCAGACTGCATGAGATCTATACAACGAAGGTTAAAATGAAGGGCAACTGGACTTGGTTGAAGCTTCAACCAAGTCTAGTTGCCCTTCATTTTAACCTTCGTTGGATAACTATGACCTGGATGACTGAGAATCTTCATAGACATCTGCATGAGATCTACTTTAAATATAAAATGCTCAATTTTTAAATTCCAAATTGATTTCCTCTTTGTGTATTGCCCATTAGTGAGAAATGTCTGTTATAAAGACATCATCACTTTTTTGCTGTAAGATGTTTCTTCCAATGCAGCAGCTTGTTATATAAATTTCACTTTTTATTGTAAGCCAGTCAGATGTGTATTGAGTTGAAACATTTGTGACATGTCCCTGCTGAGTTGTAAGTTGCAAAAATCCTGGTGATTTTGATACCCTCAGAGGATAATATTTTTTTGCATATTTCTACTCCTAGTAAGTACTTATTTTTATCAAAATGTAAGTAATTTGTGTTTTGAGTAAGATATATGTTATAGAATCAATTGAATTAAAATATTGTTTTTTTTAAATAAAATATGAGTTTAAGCATGACACCTGCATCATCAATGCAGTAGCTGTATATTATGGTTCATTGCTGCAACACATCCTCATACCTAAATGACAAAATAGGTTTATTGTCAAGTGTCCCAAAATTACATACTGTATATGGCTGTTGGAAAGTCAAACGACACATTTGACTGTAACCCACAACAATACACATGCACATTTCCAGTATCAGCACAGAGAGGCTGCTGATCGGCCGGTGTCGTGCCAAGGTAGGTACCACAGATAGAAGGCGTTCCCCCGACAGTTGGAGCGCATGCATTCAGCTGTGAAGGAACTTCGAGTTCAACAAAGTAACTGATAAATATAACATGTAGATTGTTTATTTATCCTTTTAGTATTGTTGTTTTATCAAAAAGGTTTTGCAAAGCATAATGCATGGCTTCCAGATTTACATTTACATTATGTTGAACTTTATATTTATCTTAGCAAAATTTTTTTGCAATAGTCTGACAATGATAAAACTGACCACGGATTTAATCACTTGCTCATCCATGTTACTGTTTGGAAGCTAGAACTAGACCCTAAATGTGACACTGTAAAATCAAAATAAATGGAATCAGATTAACATCTGTGCATTATAGAGGGCGGATACGTTTTATGGCAGAATGCATGTCCAGCCTGGAGGACCAGTACTGTAATCGCTTTGTGTGTATGAAAATTTATTTGCAATGCAATATTAATGATTACGATACTAATCCCCTTCCCCTTTAAGGAGGGGGATTCTGAATAGTTTCCAATAATATCTAAAGGCTATCATTTGCAATGGAAACGTGGATTACAAGGACAAAATATTGTCTACAATGCTGCATTCATGTGTTTGCTGATCAACTAATTATTACTGTGATCTTGATTTTACAGTGTTGACTCCGTAGCTATTGGTAGGAGCATCTTCCTTAGAAAAGATTCATAAGGTCATAATGTGACTCATTGCCTTTACTGTACGCATACCGATCATGCTTACTGTCGCGCAAAGTATAGATAAACGTGGTCATTAGACATTTTTATTGTTTTTATTGTGGGCCTACAAAACCTCTGAGGCTCAGGCCTAACTGCAGGTTAATGCAGGCCTGCAAACAGTAACATGGATGACCAAGTGATCGACTCCATGGTCAGTTATAACATCGTCAGACTATACACTGAATTTATTTTTATACTTTTAAGTATTATTACTGTATTTTAACTGTTTCCAACTGTATAAGCGGTGGACAGTATGTTACTGTAGATTTTCAATGCATTCTGGGAAAATATTACTCTAAATCTAAATACAGTAATATTAACAGACCGCGAAAACCACCACAAACCTCCATTTTGAAATGAAGGACTGTCATCGATTTGAGAATGTTTAGTTTGACACCAGATCTCAATTTTCCTTGCAGCTTTGACATTAGACTGTTCAGGACTGGACTGGATGCAATACGTTAGCGCTGATATTTTGTGACATTTTACACAGACTCTTCAGTTGTAGCTCTGAATGTGGTGAGTGCAGTTCACTTGTATAAGACCAAATTTAACGTTACAAGAGGCTGTTGAGGGATTGCTGTGTCTGTCTGCTGACCCGGCAGCTGCTTCATAATTAATATCTGATAAGTGGTGAATCTTGAAACAAAAATTGCAGTAACATAACGTTAAGTTAATTGAACTTTCTATTTTATTTAATGGAGCTGTAAGTTTGGGTGTGGAATTAATGTTAACATTAAAGGGGCATTATGGAATTTCCAGCGGCCACTCATGTTGCGGTTTTAAGATTGCAACCAGGCGTGCGCTCGTACACGTGCTCGCTTGAACTCATGAGCGAATAGAATCCAAAACACAAATCACTTTCATAGAGAGATCTCGCAATAAACACAGAAACACCTCACCTAACCTTATCCCCAACCAGGTTTTTACTAGTCTATATGGCCAGTTATAGCTTCTCCAAAGAAGTAAGTATTTTCAGAGAAATCCATTTATACATTGATTGCTGACTGCCTACAACATTGTTAGACTCTCAACTTTAAAACAGATCTATTTATATGT